TTGTCTCGATCAAGCTTTAGTCGGATGATACTACTATGCGACTTGGCCGGCTATCCACATGTTTTGGAGCTGAGAGCACCTGTTTCCAATACTGCTCGGCGTCCAGAGGTAGACCGCTGTAACCGTTGTATGGATCCATAACACATCGAGCACAGCAGACGCTGCATCTTTCCATCTTTGGTAGCATAGGGTCTGGATGGCGGCGTAGGTGGCTCGGTGGATCTGCTTTTGATTGGCCGGGATCCGCTGGGTTAATGGATGACGGCATCGGGATACAGTCTTTCAAGTGTGTGGAGGTGTGGATTTCCAGAAGCGACAGGAGTTGCTCCGGTGCCATGATGCCCGAATGCAACCCTCGGGTAAATGCCATAAGGTCAACACTAGGAAGCGAACTGTCAGCATGGGATTCCAAGAGTGACACGGTTTGCTTAAACCGGACGCTGTAGTCATCGGCTTCTGTCGGGTAGGCCGTCGTTTGACCGATAGTTTGATCAGGGCCACCACATAATGATTCGTCTTGTTGTGCTTGCCAGTCAAGCACCCATAACCTGGTTTGGATGCTAATAGCCGATCGACCATGAAAATGCTGCTCCAATCTCGCGAACGGCGCGGTTCGCGTGCCACAAGACGGATATAAATTGTTAGCCAGGCTCAAGAGCAACCGTGACTCTTGTTGGGACCAGCAGATACCGAAATAGCTCACTCAACCAAGCTTATCTCTATTATTATTACTACTATTATCCCCTCGTGAATACAAGTGCTTATGCTTATGTTTGATAGGCACGTGAAGAGAGAGAGGCACGAGAGAGAGAAGAGTCTCTGGAAATCTTAGCATTCAATCTGTCTATGGTGTCCGTCTCCGGAAAAAAATTCCAGGTTCCAGCGTAGCAGAACTCTGCACTTGGAAATTCCGTCCTTATAAAAGAAGCCGAGCAATTTTAGAGCTGGGTTATGAGAAATAGCAAGCATGCAGGTCGTTTCGCTAGACATGGCATACAAATTGTGCAGATGATTAGGGAGAACAGTTTGATTACAAGCGAGCGTTTCTATGAATGTTTCACGCTACTTTTTTTCAAATAAGTAGTGAACTTTTTCACAAGTTTCAGCACGACGTGCGTTTTGGGCGTGACTACCAGTGATGGCTAATCGGAAATGATGTTTCGTTGTAGCTCTTCTAGGGTTACCAGTAAGCTTAATGGTTTCCTGTAGCGTTTACATGCAATCCCTGTTCGGTAAGTATTTTAAATCTGTATGCTGTTACTTCGGTCATGACATCTTCGACCCAGCATAATTTAGGAGCAGTCAGCTACATGTGGTTTTCGGTTTTTCTGCTTGTTTGCTTCCACATCGTTCACCCAAGACGTTCATATTTCAACTCGAAGGCTTCGTACAATTGTAAATCGGAGCAACAAGCTAGAGTTTAAGAATAAATTTTCATATAAGCCGAATCCTGATTGTGAAGGAAATTTCATTTGAAATATGGACGAAAGCTGTTTATAAATCCTACTTCCAGCCAAGTACTGTCGCGATGTAACTAATGCTCTTCAGCTGGCCGAACCGAGCATGAATATTACCACCGACAAATTTTGGTGATCTTATGCCACTATAAGGGCAGACATTCCGAGTGTGTGGCCGCCTCCAACAAGCTCAGAAGCGCCCATTGTGACAGGCGTAAGATGGCTCCTCCTGGAAGGAAGAAGAATGCGCTACTTCATATTCCCTCTCTTAGTAAACCTATGTAAAACATTGTCAGCATGATCCTCTTTAGAACATTGTGCATAAATGTGGTATATAGTCACTGCAACAAAGAATTTAGAGGAATGACGCTATTTCTCTGAGGTTTTGAGATCGTGAGACAGATATTAATGAGTTGGACACAGTATATGTTTGTATAAATTTCGGATGGCATTGTTTCACCTACCCATCTGAGCTGCACTTCAGCAAACTGTGCAGCGACACGGAGAACTGGGGGCGTCTAGGCTTCATATCCATGGATAACTGCTGCTATTTCAACCTAACAAATGAGTGGTCACCATGTGTCCCTAAATGGCACAGTTACATAGCCATTCGTGTTTAACTATCGAGGAAAATCACTTGTATCTATTTGACCTCATCTGTCTAAGCATTAAGAACACCTGTCTCCTGACTTCGGCGGAATGCTAACTTCCGGCGTCCCTCGCAATACACCTACTTGACCCCTTATCTGGAAGCTTTATATGCCCGTAGGAAATGGGCAACGTACAGAAGAATAGTCCTGTGACCGTCATCTATCTTAGATTGGGCAGAATACACTTTCTGATGGAGTACGTGTAGTGTGGGTATGAATAGCCAACGGCCTAGAGTGAATCCGACTTTTGCATTTCATTCGTTTTCAGTAATCACTTGGGCCATGTTGAGTTGTGTGGAAAACTCCAGAAGGAGCTTTATCAACAAATGCGATACTACGAATACATTATTCGAACAATAAAATTGCACAAACCTCAATTCTCACCGGCTTCTACCCACCGGTTTAGGAAGAGCTAATTCCAAACGGGATCCCAAAGTTCATACCAACTCAAGGTAAGCTGGCCACAATATGGCAAGACGTGCGATGACAAGGTCAAAGAGCAGTTTTTGTTCAGTACACAACAAGGAAGGTGGTACAGACGGACAACGGGAACAACAAAACGAGAGCTCTTTTGTACACAATTAGAACAAAAGAAAAGCGCCAACAGATATCGGGCCGCAATACATTGCGAATAACCTGAAACTCCGAGATTTCAGGCGTTAAATACTCAAAGATGAACTGGCAAACTGGAGGCTTAGTGACATCCCCTGGAGCCATCACTCATGCAGAAATCATTTTTCGACATCCAAGTAGCAATTTATGCTTGCATAAGCAATTGAGCGTGGCAAGGTTGGCAAGGTGTTTTAAATCTTCACGTAATATGGACAGCATGATAAAACAGCCCTTCTAAAATTGCGGTCAAGACGGCAGATTTAAGTGTATGTGAATGATACAGGTCTCCAAATAAATATCATCTCACTAATAAGACCCGGTCCACTCCTTTGGGATGGTTTCTACAGGAGCGTAGACGATCTTATTCCTCTTTTCATACGAATTGCCAGAGATCATATGTAGCCATGCAAACCACATTTTTTCAATCATCAAAATATCTCACTTAATATCATTAATTCACTTGTGTTAAACATGGTCTTAAAGGCAACTTTACTCTTTGGGTCTGGGTTTCTAATGTTTTCGAGGTGAACATGAAAGTGTCTGGTTCAAATATTTGATCAAATCAAACTCCGCACGTCTGTATGAAAGTTCGAGACTCCTCTTCCATCCTTATGATAGTTAAAGCTTGCCGGGCATTTGAACGACTGAAGAGTCCTTTATTATTTTCATTTTCTGTTGCAACCGAAAGCTAACTGATATTTACTGAATTGAGAAAACGTATGCAGTTCCCAGCAAGTGAACATCATCCGGCACAGCGTAAAGTGTTTGTCTTTCCACACCTTCCATAGCTTTTCCGTTCTATCTGATCACTGGATTGAAATCAGCCCCGTTTAAGATCACATTTTAAATCTGACATGCAACATCCTTATACAAAAATTTCCACTCCCGCGTTATTTTTGCAGTTCCTTTATTTCAGTACTTTCGTTTGTGAGTATAAAATGACTCTCCGACTTTACATTCGATATCCACTCTAGATCCTTCCAGAATGGATTGGAGTTCGAAAAGGACTTAGTAGCTAGGCGGTGGAAACATAGGGCGGCAATTATCTAGATTAGGCGCGGGCACCATAAACATGCCAACTGGAATCAAAAACTACTCTTCTATCATAAGTCACCTTCCCCTTTAATGTTATTCTAATTACCATCGTAATTTTCGCTATCATAGACAGTGAAAACAACGGCATCGACAGAAAAAAAACAAAATTATGTCTTTAAAGGCTTTTGGACTGCAGATCCAAGCTGACCCCAGCAATAGTGGCATGTTCTGAGATTGTTGATGTCATAAGTTGAAAAGGAGTGGGGCAAGTAGAAAAGCCGTGCACTGGATAGATTCTCGCACAATATGGCTTGCCAACAGATAAAGAGCCCGTGATTGATTTCCTCGAATAACGAATAAGCAGGACGATCGTACTAGATCGGTTCGCGTAAATTCGCTATCGAACAACTTCATTTATTATTTAGAAATTAGTAGAGCTGGTGGGACCACCGAAAAAAATGTCACTTCAAGTTCTTCTTCTATGTTATTTGAATATCTGCTGCGAGGGATAACATCAGCCTCAAGCGTGTTCCGTCCTGGCAAGACCCATATATTTATACACGGAAGCTTCTCGGTATTTAAATTTTAATTTCTTAGAGATCCTTACGCACCTAACTGGACACTCCAATTTTGTCGATCGTAATATTAAGGTTGATCGATATGGATTTAACATATTCTAAGAGGTACACCATTGCTGGCGTTTTATTTTTGATGCTAGCGAGCTATTTAAGAATTTCATCAAACCAACCTGGAAACTTTATCCTAACTTCTTGTAAAAAGTAAGATGTCTGGTTAATAGAGACAGAGACAGAGACAGCCATTGAGGATAATTTAGTTGATAAAATTGAAAAGAGTAGATCGGATGTTCTGGGGGTGCTCAGGTTGCTTCCAGGTGAAAGAAATAATTGTTCATGTGAACTTCCGTCAAGGTTAAATACCAAGGATTACGCAGTCTTCGAAGCAGTTGAAAGTCACAATGCAGAAACAGTTAGTTCATTGTCGCTTGTTTTTGTTTGGTTCTGCCACGTCTATGAGTTACTCTATGGTGAGAACCAAGTTGTTTCCTTGCAAGCGAGGGACGAGAAAATGCACGGTCTCTTAAGTGTAGGTACAAAACACTGACAATCTGTGAACGCAACTTACCGGGACAAACACAATTGTTATTGGCGATGGCTGTCTTAATGCATAACTTGATTTAGTTTATGAATTAGGTAGACAAACTAACTGCACACAATGTACTACGTGGATGGCAGAAAGCATAAAAACCTGGTCATTTACGTTTGTTGTTTGGAAAATGATCTCAAAAGATATTCTTCGCATTTTTGCTATGGCTGATTTTCCTACCTTACTGTTCTGCATCACATCTAGCCTTGGCCAAAACGAAAAACGTCTAACTCAGCAGCAGTTTGAGCAATACCATAACATGTACCGGAAAATGTTGGTTGAAGGTTCCGTCCCAGATCAATCCAAAGCAAAATATATGCCCAATTTGGTAAGTATGCCAAATATTTTCCCATTAGTTATGTTCTGGTCACCGAAGTGAACTACATTGGTATCTTTCGTACATTTACATAAATTGTTAGGCAAATATAGATTTCCTGCAAGAACGCTGGAGAAGTCCGACTTGAGTATTTATGAAAGCTCTAATAGATCAAACGGATGCACGGCACAGAGAAACTACCGTAAAAAGTACAAACTTATTTACGCCCAAAGACACACTCCGAGACTAAAAACGCCGGATTTGTTCGATTTCACGTCTAAATCCTTTTACTCGTGATTGGCATACAGCAGAGATTTGTGAAGACATGACCATGAGGGTCAGACACGCCCACAGGTACGGTGCAGCGGAGAAAAAAACACAATATGTAGCTGTGGTATTTTCAAAACGGAATGAAATAATTCTTCAATAACGAAGTGGCACAATTCTTGTTGTCCACCCAGCTACTGCTAGCAGGATTTCCGAAAAATCGGTGGACTGAAGTTTCTTCCTTGATTGAAAAAGACGACCGCCATCACTTGATAAAATTTCGTGCATCCGTTGTAGTCATGAGAAAGAAGAAGGCAGCGAACAAAGCTTGTTTTCTGTGATTGTTCATCTCGGCTAATACATCACAAATTTATATGGTAGCAGAAATCACGTGAAGGTTAAGATCGGGGCTCCAGCTGGCCTCTGAAACATCTCGTCCCACAAGTCTGTCTGACATTGACTCACTTACTTTGACTCCGTGACCCATTGATCTACCCCTCACCCAACCCCCCTTCCTTTGACTTCTATTTCTCTAAAATGTATGTAGCCCCGATCTTAACCTTTTCCACGTGATTTCTGCTACCATATAAATTTGTGATGTATTAGCCGAGATGAACAATCACAGAAAACAAGCTTTGTTCGCTGCCTTCTTCTTTCTCATGACTACAACGGATGCACGAAATTTTATCAAGTGATGGCGGTCGTCTTTTTCAATCAAGGAAGAAACTTCAGTCCACCGATTTTTCGGAAATCCTGCTAGCAGTAGCTGGGTGGACAACAAGAATTGTGCCACTTCGTTATTGAAGAATTATTTCATTCCGTTTTGAAAATACCACAGCTACATATTGTGTTTTTTTCTCCGCTGCACCGTACCTGTGGGCGTGTCTGACCCTCATGGTCATGTCTTCACAAATCTCTGCTGTATGCCAATCACGAGTAAAAGGATTTAGACGTGAAATCGAACAAATCCGGCGTTTTTAGTCTCGGAGTGTGTCTTTGGGCGTAAATAAGTTTGTACTTTTTACGGTAGTTTCTCTGTGCAATGTATGAATGATTCAATCAGAGGTTTACTATATCAGCAGCAAAGAAGTTTATCCTTTACCTGGAAACATTCACTTTCGGCGACTTCTGACATATTCATTCGTGGGAATCCTATTAGGTGAAGTGTAAGAGATTAAAAAGCCTCCATATAACCGGTCACAAGGTGGATTTATTAGTTTATGATTGAACGTGGTCAAACACGAACAAAATTTCTTGAAAAAATTAAAGTTTTCAAGTCATTTGGAAAAAAAGTCTTCACTGTGTGTCTTCACAGTGTATTTCAAGTTTAATTGAATGGACGCACATAAACTACACAAGTTTCTTTTAGTAAACAACATGTGAAAATTACAATTGTTTGATTATCTTTGGTGATACAAAAACCCCCAAACGAATAATCAACAACCTGACATTTTTTTACTCGAAGGAAAACCATTCGTTTATCATCTCATAATGTCCTCATCTAAGACCAGGGGATATCTAGCTGGCTTACCATCCAGACCATGGTTTTTACCGAGTGACCGAGCTTGGCATACATGTGAGGTTTTGTAGCAATGGTAGAGCTAGGCCAATTGCCTTCAAACCCACGTTCCGGTCATTTGTTTTATTAAACACAAGCCACGGTATCACCCTAAAGTGGCGAAATTTTACCTGCCGAGCCAGATTAAAACAGACAGTTCATGTTTCTTGAATTATGGTGATGAAGTAAACAAAAACTATACAAACCGAATGACTGAAAAAACTACCTTGGAGGACTTCCGACTATTCTCCTTCACCTGTGGAAAGATGAAAAAAATTAGTACAGGGTCTTTTTATGTTGAAATAAAACTTTTTTGCGTCACGTTGATGCCACTTGGATTGTGTAAATTAGTTTTGTGCTGGAGAGTTTGATCCACCGATTTAAATTATTATTTTCATAATCGACCGTTCTTGCCCAAGTACTTGGTCAAATTTGGCTGCATTTACCATATCAATCGCTTTTGCCAATATGTAATTTACCTGACTGCATCTCCGAAGGTCCAAAGCAATCTTGTAATTCTAATAAACGCATACTTTTGAACTACAGTCCTTGCAGTACACCAGGTGCTTTGAAAGAATGCTGTAATCCGACTCACAGCATGCTCTTTAAAACCAAACGTCAACTATAGTGTTTCACCTTCAAGACATTTTATCATAGGTCAGGAAGTCAGAGCTTGACAGACCAATTCCATGATCCTCAAGGGCGGAGTATGGGCTGGCTCTCTCCTTAACGGGCTCCAAGATGTCTGTAGGCATCCTACCAAAAAAGCGCTAAGGTAACATAGCTTTCTTTTATCTGGTTCAACAATCCATTCAAACCACATGAGAGTGGCAAATGAAGACCGATATGACGAGCATCCAGCATATGGCCATATGCGTTTATGCAAGTTGATATCTTCATAAAATCAATGTTATGTAGATTTCAAGTTAGCACGCACAATGAACGACAAGCTATCAGGGGATTTTTGAATTATAACAATGAATTAATGAATATTTGCCTAGACCGCTCAAGGTTTCTAAAATGACCTCCACGTGCAGGTTTTTGAGACTGTTCTCTATTTAAGGTGATTGTCTGCTGTTGTTCAGAAGACTAGAGCAAAATAGTGTTACGTCAGCTAACTCTGGTGGGTTCACTTAGCCTTACCCGATTTCCGTGAATTCGGATGGATGTCAATAGAATAAGGCATTAAATGCACCCGAAAGTTCATTGAATTCGGCATGAACAAAAAGCATTATCGTTATTTATTTGAAGAATTGCACACTTTCCTGGAGTTCTTCCAAAGGAACATAATCCTAGTTTGAAAGCGCGTAAGCGAACGTGCCGTGAACGGCTCATTATGGTCAACCTTTAATAATGAAATTGGTTGTAACATTATTAAGGCTTTAAAATGATCGTCCCGGGGGTTGCGTCAGATTTTCGTTAGGTAACCATGCGAATTTCTAGCAGTGTGCTTCTGGAGATATCGATGTACATGCGCAAGCACACACATTGCCCAAAGACAGATAGGAATTTCTGCTTCCATTATTTCAACTAAAATGGTCTCGCGATAAACCGAAGCACACTTCAGATGGTGGGAAAATGTCTTTCACGGAACCAGTAAACCATTCCAAGTACGTACTTTTCTACGCTTTTGGGTTATTTTCACTCCTTTCACAAGTACATCCTGTTCATTATTAATAAACATTATTAATTCTGGACAGATTTCTGACGGGCGACTGGTCAAAGACGCCAGAAATTGGGCAACAAGATGTGTGTTCAAGCATGACGACAGCTCAAAGGATGGTGAAAATCTAGCAGCCTCAAGCAGTCTTTCTGTGAAGTAAGTCGAATGACTCGGAATGCTATGAAAGTTGTTAGATCCACAGTGTATAATGATGCACGCTGCACTTCTTGCCGTTAGCTTACTTTAAATGAGTTTGAAAATATAATGTGTGGATGAATAATTAGTACAAACCTTGTGCACTTGGCTAACAGGCGAAGATTGACAAAAAGCGGACGAGAGCACAGGAACAATTCCATCAACGTTGGGAATAGTTTTGCGATGGTCTGCATCCTAAACCTAGTACTTTGTGGTATAATCTTTGAAAGTTGAATAGATTTTCTGTGGTCACGTGTGCATACCGTTATCCATTACTGTGAGTAATCTTTGTTTACACTATGAAGCTCAGTCCTTTTGGTCAACTGGTAAATGAGTTGGAGACTTTTGGTTTCCTCAGGAATAGGTCCTTACTTTGGTGTCAAGTATTCAAAACATGCGCAGAGAAATTCGAAAGTCCGTCTTGGAAAATTGTTTGCTAAACGCACTACAAATAAGGCCTTCGCCCTCTTATTCAATTGCTTGTAACCGCTTTGTTTGTGTTCCAGGATAAACAACCTTGCAGCATGATGGGTCCTTTTTTCTGCCGCGGACCCATCGAACGCAATGTTTATATTCATATTGGAGTGTGGTGCCCAAATCTGATATCGCATGACACCAGCCGTCTTTTTCGCTGCGATCAACAGACGGCACCCTTGTTCTCTGTCCTAACGCTTTGTGGCGTAGACAACATTTAGGTGCGCTAAGCTGACAACTAAACTAGTTTTCGTTTGTAATGTTGTCAAAAATGACTAATCTGCCATGGTTATTTCAGGTGGAAACCATTTGCATATAAGCATCTAGTGCAATTTATTCTCAACAAGAATGCATGTATTCACTAAAACCAATATGTTTCAAACCTTTGGCCACAATTTCTGGCGAGATCTTGATAAGCTCTGAGTACCCATGTTTATTTTCCCTCACTAGATATCCCTTTTTCTGGCTTTAGATAATTCGTCCTTTGCAGTGGTGCAGCAGAGCCCCTTTACCTCCGTTTAGAAGCAAAACCTAGTAGTGTGTAAACTCACAGCTAATTTAAATATTTATTATTTGATGTAATTGTACTAAAATCCGCTATTTTTGGGGCAAACTATTCCAGCTCACAAAATGTGAACTCACACTAAAGTTTATGCGCTGTGGCAATACAACCTGATGTAGTCGGTTAGGTGGTTGCTGAAAATAATTATCTTGGAAATACGCCTCACTAAATGCTATTTGTTGTATGAGTGTTAGTTGTTCACATATCTTATCAGCAGCTCGTTTGCGGCTGAGACTACTACCGTGTTCGGAACTGCCTGGGGTTTCGTGAGCTGCGAACTGCTGGCGTTTCTCAGTAAGGATAAGAAAGCTGTACATTACTTTTGGGCTTCTCAATATCGATTGCTCCGCCTTCATGAGACAATTTCAATTGTAAATTTCCAGAACTTGTGACACCACTAACGAAATACGATGCGTTCTTTCGCCACCAGATCTCATCATGACAACAGAACGAAGAGCTATAGCCAAATTTCACAGCGGTAGAGCGGGCGAAAAAATGTTTTAAGTTGATGAAAATTCGGGCAAACAAAACAATCACAAAGAAACTTGGATAGGTATCCCACAGAAGCAACTGTAAATAATCGTAGTCTAAAAGTTCCGTAGAGGAGCTTTGTTTGGCCTTAATTTTGCATTCTTTAGGAAGTTGTGCAACTGGATTTTTCCCAAACACATTATTTTTATTCCTTTAGTCTGCCAGCTCTCGACTAATTTGTTTTCCCTTCTATTCTCCATCTTTGTCAAGTCCAGTGACGCTATGGTTTGAAGAACACAAGTTATACAAGTTTGGGAAGGTAACCGACAAAAATGTTCAGGAAACTGGTCACTATACTCAGGTAAGCCGAATGTTTGAAACTTTCAATATTTTACGGTACCACGAAACGGGTTTTTCCTTCATACTGCGTATCTTCTTCAGCTTGTTTGGGAAAAAACAACGCACCTGGGATGCCATCAACAATTGTGCAAACCTCTGAAAGATGGAACAGGAAATAAAATTGGAACGATGTACTTTCTGTCGATACTCCCCAAGGTAAACTTATAAATATTTTTGTGTATCTTTGAGGTTTTTGCACATAAAGAACTCCGTTAGCTGTGCAAATGAGCCATAACTTTTTCTACCTTTAATTCATAGCGGAAACTATCTGGATCAAGAACCGTATCAAAGGGCGTGACGATCTTGTCCACGGTGGCCTTGGCAATTTGACATTGTGTGCAATTTTACCCTCGGGTTTGCTGACCAAGGAAAGTAAATTACATAGTAATAACTGGGGAGAAAGCCTGATGTCTACAAAATACATTTTTTAGCAACATTTGTGAATATATTGGTATGGTGCACCACTCTTCCCCGCCTAAAAACCGCATTCATTTATTATGTACATAATATTGTTCTTCAGGATGAATGGCGAATATTTACAATAAATGGTTATTTGATACGAAAGGCAAGTGCCTAAGATATTCTCCCGACACCAGATTCTAACCAGACGTTGACAAGCGACGAAGTATTGGGTACGTCCTTTTACCCTTGTTGGACAGTTAACTCATTACGGCGTTTCAGTGCGGTTTTCACAGAGGTTAGCAAACGTACAGCAACTAAGTTATAAATTAATCTTATAACGCATCAGATGTCCCGAAGCTGAGAACTTGGTAAGCCGAGCCGAAAAACACATTTCTCCCTAGTGTAGAAAAGTGATTCATCGGAGTTTAGCACCATTCCAGCAACTAAGTGGATTGAGGATATAAGCCTTCTTTATAGTGCTCTTACTAGTCTCTCTATTGTTTTATCGACTTGAATTTAATTAGCATTATATGTATGGACGTGCAGGACTTGAGGAATTCTCATTCACACTACGGGTCTTTGGAGAATGCTCCACTTGTCCTCGAGAAACTAATCCAAGCAGTCCAAAAAACAGGAAAAACTCTGGACAAAATAGATCCACTTTCACTGGTGTCTCCGCTGTTTTGCACAATGAGAAAAGGTTTGTGTAATTGCTAGCCCTCTATTACGTTTCTAACCAAATGGAAGAAAATTTGATTCTGGATGCGTCTTTAACTGTTGATCAATTTCGTTCATTCTCGATCGTCAGCCTCGTGGGAACGCGACATTCAAGTTCTCACTCAGGTTTGGAATGTGAACATATATCCATTTGAATTCAAGTGTCAGCCGTCCTTGACTTGTTAATCTTTCCCGAAACGTATGCTATCCAAACTTCATTCTTGAAACTATGGTCAATTTTTGAACGCTTGTGCTTAAAGAAGTGAGAAAAACGGAGGTATTTTTGTATTCACAAAGCCTTTTCAGTCATGAAGCTAAGAATGTATTTTTGGGTTATAAACTGAGCCAGATGTGTCTGAAATAATACTCTGTAGCAAGGCATTGAAAACAGAATCTTAAGCATTGTGAAAAAAAGCCCGCACGTCTACCTGTGGAACACAACGCACAACGATGTGATTCGGAAGCACCCAGTATGTCTATAACCTTTGCTATTTTCACGCGTTACAACTCGCACTTCGACAAGCCAATGAAATAACAATCCGACTACGTCTGGTGCTGCTCGCTACTTCAGGCTCTGCTGTGCCAGATTCTGAGAGTTACCGAAAATACTGACTATAATGGGCAATGCTTGGGCCCATGTCAGCAACTTACTGCGCAAATGAAACCCAACAAAAAAGAGAAAGCAGCCAAGGTATCAGTCTTTTTGCTGAATAAACAGCACCGGTAAAAATCTTTAGCGTTTTATATCGGCACTAAACTTGAGAGACTATCGATGAGACAGACTTTCATTCATCTCCACCCAATCACAATGAATCAGCGTGAAACTTTCTTGTAATGGCGCAAATTTTGTCACTTTTTAAGCAATCCCTAGTTTCAAAGCAAACAAGAACACTAGAATAAGGATTCCACGTTATCACGCAGTGCACGTTCAGTGGAGCAGACAACAGACAGTGAAATACAGCTGCGTTTGGAAATTTGTTGAATCAAATATATAGGACAACTTGACAAACTACAACTTATCTATTCATCCTATATTGCAATATTTTATATTCAAATTGAAAGAAAGGAGCAAACTCTCAGCGACATATTTTCAGCTACATAAATATCCAGTTCTGTGTATCAAAGTATCAAAGGGTAGATCAAGTGGTTCGGATTGGTTTAAGCTACAATTGCGATGCAACAAAAAATTTTTTTGAAATGGCGGACATGGTGTCGTTAATCAACCTGAAAAGGCGTATACAGAAATAAACGACAGCAAGTTAACAGATCCAAGGTGAACATGAGGCAAATGTTTATTCCGGCGAAACTGAACTTCAATTTGTCACCGTCGAATGTATCTTCGTGCTGCGCCTCGTGTCAACACATGTCGCAAGTAAAACAAAAGTAGGGTTTATTCGTCTGAACAATGAGAAGTTATGGAAGCACCTTCATGAATCTTAAAAAAAATGCAATTTTTTAGATGTGAACCTTTGAGACATCCATTCGTAGATGCTAAGAAACTTGTAATTATGTCGTGGGATATATGTCATCAACAGGAGAAAAATTAGACGCCAGACAAATTTGTCTGTCACACCAAAACCTGGAAGGGAAACAATGAAGGACTTAAGCACTCCCATTCTCCCTTTGTTAACATTCACATGTACGACTACTGCATATAACTGTGCGCTTTGGTGCAAAACAAAGAACAGTTGTCAAAAAAAGCTCGGTGACTAACAAGAAGGGGTTTTTGGCGCCTCTGCTATCAATGTACAAGCAAGCACGCGGAGGACGTTGAGCAGACATGAGAAGTATAAAAATAGGATGCGTGAGTAGTTTGGCTGTATAAGCATAAACAGCATGTTCACTGTTTATGCTATTGTTAAGTTCAGTATAATACTAGTTGACATGGTTTCGACTCAACACCATGGTTTAGAAACTCTAAGTCCGGAGAAATTTAGGGATCTACACAATGCCTTCCGGAAAATGATACTTAACGGTTCGGTTCCCAACCAACCGAAGGCCAAGGCAATGCCAGATTTGGTAAGTACACATACAAAATGATGAGTATCCTAATATACTAATCCGGTTTAAGTACAGTGTCCCGGTGTTTCCTTTTCTGCACGTCTCATTTTACATTTCAAGCGCTTACATTTTTCCATTTTGTAAAAGATGCCTGAAAGTACGACCAAATTCTGTCCAATTTCTACTAGGATTTAAATAACCAAAACTTAGTACGTTCAGTGAATATTGTTGTAAACGGAGTAAGAAATCGGCACGATAACTGGCACCTTACTGCCATTCCACTTTTGTATACTACCTTTGGCATTCTGGCCACCTTGAACTCCCTTTATAGGCATTTAAACAAATCTACGGAAGTTTCGTCTACGAAGATCACCACTTAACACTCGGTTGGCCAGAAAATTAAATTTTGCAATGTTCATGACGGTAAAGTACGAGCATAAATAGAATGGGCTGGAATCGCTTGCTCACTGGCCCTGAGAAGCATCATCTCAGGTCAGGTGTTCAGTTTTACATTGGCAACGGAGTGGTACGACTGACACGTTACTCACCTAGTCACCTGAGCCACGGTAATTCATACAGCCGGCAAGTCAGACAACTTTCCGTCACCAGGCTTTATTCTATCTGTAAATTCGAGGGTCTCCTCTATGCAGCCGAGGGAAAACGCAAGCATTTCATTCAATTGGTATCCGTATCACGTTATGTTGTCAGGCCTCCAGGTCTATAGCTTTTGTGGCGAGGCCCTATTGGTTTGAACCGGTGAATTAGAGTATCTGCAAATAGTCCGTGTGTTACGAAGTACAAGTGCACGTGGCTAGACGGTAGAACAGTGGTCAGATTTGATGCCACTGGTCGCAGTAGAGCTCATGTTTTGTAAACAAATTCAGGGGGTGATTTGCGTGATTAATGCATGAGACATTTAGCCACAAAAATAGGAAAGCAAACTCGGAGGAAAATCATTGGCATTGCACATTGATAAATATTTTAATCCAAATATCGATTACAGCGAAAAATGCCGACGTATTTCTTCTGGTATCAGTTCATCAAAACCAAGTAGAAGCCCAATTTTACGCACCATTAATCGCTTAACACAAATCTTTGTGCGATTTTAGACGATCAGAAAGCACCTTCAGTCTCATACGTACAAATTTTACAGCCAGAAAATCCCAAATGCTATTGGTTTTGCTGGATTCTGTTGTATTGAATTGGTCTGTCACTGTCCTTCAGAGTCAGAGAGGTGACTGTGGAAAGACAGGTTATCATGGACACCTATAACATTATTCGTGATTTCGTTCGGCAACCTTGGTGTTTGCGTTCCAAGCATAGGCACTCCACTCAAGCTATATTACGAATGAGGGACTGAAGCGGCTGTACTTCGACTAGCCACTGTATGTTTTGTTGGTATCACGCCATCCGTTGGCACTTAAGGAAATAGAGCGGCGTTCTCTCCATAATTTACTGCTGAAGTTGATTAGCTGCATACGATTCACAAATTACTCTTGCTATTGCTGCTTAATTTTCGCAATTCTTGTTTCTGCTGAAATGACTCAAACAGGCATTTATGGTAACGCTGTTATGGCTCATTTTGCACGAGGAAGGAGAATAAGAATACCAACTGTGTTATTAAAAGCTGTTGGCAAAATAACCGACGGCTGTTGAGCTCAATTAAACCAACCGAGACCTAACTAAATTGACTGATGAAACTATCGTTAAGTTGAAAAACAGGAGTGCGTAATTTAACTGATTGTTTATTTCCTTTGTTTTGTTCGTACTTGGCTGAGTGAGCAACACAGTTTTTACTGGTTATTCCTTGTCCAAATGTCAAGATGTAATGAAATTTCTGCGGGTATACTGTGTTGTCTGTATTACAAACCCCTGCAACATACAATACAACCCACGCAAATGAGTAGTTTCAGTTGAACGATTCCTTGAACTTCTGACGTGGCTGCATTAGATAAGAATTGTTGAATAACTTAGCCGACTACACCGACCGAGTAATTTCATTCCAATTGTCCGATGGCCTAAGGTTACATACCCACACCAAAAAAGAGAACGAAGCCTATCCTATAATAAACGCAGGTTTCAAATGCTGAGCTGAGCTCTAACTTTGGACTACTGACAGTTCGCCCGATCAACAAACTGGGGCGGGGCCCAGTGGTCCGTACCAGAGATTTTGAGAAATTGGAGAGGCCATTGCTGCTGAGATTCTACAGAGGCTGTTTCAGATAATCCGCAAAGCAGGCCCTACAACGCATGTAACTGAGCGGGTCAAAGAGGAAATTTGAAGTTTCATATGAGATAAAGATGAACACCTAGATAATTGAGCAGAATATTTTCAACAGTATTTTAGTTTTCCGTTGTTCACTGTGTCTGTAGGTTTCACTGAACCCACTCGATTTGAGCTGTGGTCTATGATACCTTCTTCAGAGATGGAGGGAATTCCTTGTGCTTCCATTTGACTGGGTTTTTATTAAATATTTTGTGGCAGGAAAGTGTTTCGGAGAATTAATGCAAAATATGTAACCGGCGCATTTGCTGTAAGCACGGAGATATAAGTCCCATGCATGTCGTGATTGGCCAATGACTACCATTCTATTGCGCTTTTTGTCTTCGACTGTAAGACGCATTCCTGAATGAATATCTACAAAGCGGGCTCGCTGATCATATCGTACTTGAGCGACGCCCTTTAGACTGCTGATTGGTGGTTTTCTTTCGCTTTGAACAAGCCTTCATACCTGTAAGTAAATTGTTTCTAAATATTCTTAGAGAGACGGAAATGCCCTCGGAGTTTGTAGACATTCTTCGTGCCATTTAGTTCCATGTCTTTTATCGGACTGAAGTGTAAAGTGAACAGTCTGTAAGCTACCTGACAATTGGGACTTTTTATTAGAATATTGCTCTCATTTATTGTTCATTTTTTTCATCGGATACGCACATCCATGTACAATGAATCTAGCTGTCAGATTCACGCTTAAACAAAAAATAATAGAATTAAATCTTTTGATGGAAATTTTTTGTTGTCATCGTTCTTTGTTCGCGAAAATTAATTTGAACTGAACATCGGAGGAGGTCTTGTGTTTCGGACTGCGTTCTGTACCTTAAAAGTGTAGGGTATAACTCCGGTCAATTTGTACATATCTGGGACTGAAAAATGAAGAGCCTGAGATTTTTTACTGGTTCATATACCTTTGCCATTGCATAAGCCTTGATTGTACTGAAACAATTAAATTTAACACGAGTAACGTTTGCCATACATACGTCACATACGGTGTCAGAAGAAAGTTTCTCTGAAGCCAAATGGCCGCGTGACTGTAGAAGCTGTTTTACCATGTTTGAGATATGCGGGATGGCTTCCCCGATTCGAGGACCTCAGATGACTTCAAATGTTTGATTACCAAAACCTCCTTAGCAGGGTATATGTAGGCCAGCTGCAGTGATTACGGAACAAAGTGCTGCGTAAGCACTTTGATAATGGACCAGATTCGTTAGAACAGTAGATTAAATTTGGCGGGTTGTAGTGGTTGAGGCGAGTACCATGCTTAGTTGAACATCGTCTGTTGAAGAACGCTTTGCTTTTGTTCCCATCGATGGTTGCAAGGGAGCGGATCAAGGCATGGAGGCCAGAAATTCAAGTTTATATGGTCTAACTACGTGCTGTGGGATCTTTGCACCTTCCTGGGTGGGCCCCACATGGCCATGCTTTCAGGCAGTCGGAAACAATACAGGACACAGAACGCAACAAATCTCACTGGTGCAAATACTGTTGACTAATCTGACTCTCCGGCTAGAAATCTACTGTCCCTGTGCGCTGAACTTGTGTCGGGTGAGGTTTCCAAAGAAAGTCGGGCCAGCCCTGTTGTTGGTGACTTAATTCGACATGATGCTTGGAAGTGTCTAGTTCAAAATTAAAAATTGTAGGCGCGTTTTTTTTATTGTTTGAGGATACAGTGGTTCTTCGAATAAGTTCCCAACCATCCGTCTTCTTTATACTTTTCAATAAAGTATTGTTGCTTCATGGTTATATGGCAGTTAAGCTTCCGTCTCTGTTACTGGTCTGTTGTTCTCACTGATAGTAATGCGAAAAGTTCCTTCTGGTTGCCCGCATCACTCATGTGCGTACGTACAAGGCCACCAAATACTCCAATTCCTACAAATGTGTGGGGTGAAAACAGACTAACAATAAAATTGAGAGCAGTCCCAACCTGTTAGGTGACCGCTTTGTTGGCTAAGGTACGCTAATTTATCCCGAGACACCCATCCAAAACCCCTAGTAATCAAGTGTCACTGGGTAGTAAACCAGTATGCCAAAAACATGAGAAGGTGTACAGCGGCTGGCTGGTCGGTTTAGGTTTGCTTAAACTCAAGAATAGGCCATGTCCAAACAATTGATGCCACCATTTATTCGCTGCCATTTCAGTGATGCACCAGGCGATCTGAGCACGTGGTCTAAATTAGGTGGCTGCCTATCTGTTCACTATACTTGGCAATTTACTTGCAAACATTTTGCGACCAATCGAGGGAACAGTTTTCACACCACATAACACTATGTACCTGCACTGGCATGTTTCAGGTGAGAGAGCTGCTCGAAGACTAGCGTACTGATTTAATGCTTCATTCCATCTTTACACATGTTGGAAAGAAATCTGAATTATCAATATTAACAAAGTATCACTCAAGTTTCGAACATTTCGTAACCTGATGCGAGATCAAGAACCAAAGTTGACCCCGGTTGTAACGAGACTGTTGGCGTCAATTGTGCTTCGTCGCCTCACGGTGGCTCGTGAGATGCTGACTCGAGAGCAGCAAGCGGGATTCCGGCCTGGTAGGGGTTGTGTTGACCAAATCTTCACACTGCGTCAGGTGCTAGAACAACGCCATACGTATAAGCGACCCACGATTCTAGTATTCCTGGATTTCCGAGGCGCATTCGACTCGGTTGATCGGTCTGTTCTTATCGAGACGCTTGCCCACCAAGGAATGCCCCAGAAGTTTGTAAACATAATACGTTCTTTGTATTCTCAGACTTCCGGACGTGTAAGAGTGTACGGAGAGCTCTCCAAAAGCTTCCG